GGGTGGGGGGAAGAGGAAGCCCATCTCTCCTGCTGCTCATCCTGAGTTGTGGCTAAACAGCTCCTCATATTCCCCGGCCCCCATCTAACACTCCCGGGAACAGGCAGATGCACCCAGGAAGGCCCAGCTGGATGGGCTGACCACCAGCGGGGTCACCTCTGGATCAAGGAAAGTAAGATGCACCCCCACTCGGGAGGCGTGATTTACACCCGAAGCCCAGGCGTGCAAGGCGCTTCGCCGGCTATGACTCTATACTTCCCATCTGAAGACCAATGGACACTCCGCACAGTGTCAAACCGCTAGCACAGTCCATATCATGGAATAAAATGTGTTTCTATTTTTATTTGTTATATAATCAAAATTATGCACATGCTATGCCTAGGTCTTCCATGGTGAGCAGAACTCCCTCTCCATCTTGTGAAATGTAAATACAGTAGTATTGATAGTGATATCTATTCACTATGGGACATCTTCCTTATGATGTCATACATTTTATTTTATTTTAAACATTATTTAGCGCTTGCTATATGCAGGCACTATGATAAGCAGTTTGCAAATAGTAACTTACCCAGTCTTCCTAACAACACTGAGGGAGGCACCATCAGCCCTGCTTTGTAGATGATAAAGCTGAGGCACAGGGAGTCTGAATAGCTCGTCTGACGTTACAGGGCTGGCCAGGCCTGGGCGGGACCTGAGCCAGGCTGTGTGGCTGAGTCCAGGCTCTTTCACCGCCACACTCATGTGCACGTGCATCTCCAGCGGCTGCTGCAGCAGCGTCTCCGACCCACTGGTGCTCGTGCAACGTCCCCCTGCCCACCCCTATCAAGAGTGGAGCTGTTTCTCCACCCTCTTGAATCTGGGCAGGCCTGTGACTTCTCTGACCCATGGAATTCAGAAAAAGTGACACTGTGCCCATCCAAGCATAGCCCTTAATTTCCTGGAAACTTCCACCTACTGCCTCTTAGAAACACCCAATAAGAAGTGCCACAACCTGGGACCAAGTGAGAAGTCCGAGCCCTGTGGAGAGGCCTGGAGGATGAAGTGCTATTTGGAGAGGGAGGGAGGGAGAGAGCAGGGGAGGGAGAAAGTGAGGGAGAGGGAGAGGGAGGGAGAGGGAGAGAGAGAGAGAGAGAGAGAGAGAGAGAGAGAGAATGAGAATGAATCAGGAGGAAGAGAGGGATGGAGAGGGCAGGGGAGTGAGAGAGAAAGGGAGGGAGAGGGAGAGGGAGGGTTCAGGAGGAAGAGAGAGGGAGAGGGAGGGGGAGGGAGAGGAGAAGGGAAGGGGGAGAGGGGAAAAGCAAAGTCAGACGCAACAGCTACCTTTTTGTTGTCATCCAGAACAGTGTTCATGTTTTCAATCCAAACGGCATCTACGGGCCCATCGAATATGATCCACTTGCGATCATCAGACAGGGAAGATGCCTGCTCCCGGAATGCGTTGGCGAGGACGCCGTCGGTCCACTCGTGGCTCACTTGGTCGAAGCACCCGTACAGCTGCCCCATGGTGATGGCCTTGGGGTTGATGACCTTGTACTCCACAGCAAACTCCCCCATCTGGTTGGCTGGGCAAGAAGGTCCAACCCGAGTTACAAAGGTTCTGGTGAGACCAGAACGTCGGACCAGAGAGAACGCCCTCTCAGAGGCCGAGCAGCCATGATGAATGTGCCATCCAGAGAAGCCCTCTAAAGTTTGTGTGCAGCTTTTTAAAGATTGTCAGGTCATTACAGCCGTGTGTTTCTCACCATCAGTTCTCTAAGGCTCACTTCCAGCAGGCAAGGGTGCCCATGAGACGTAAAGAACCGGCTGGGCCTACAGGACCCCGGCAGTGAGGGGGTGCACACCCAGGGCCTCTGCGTGTGGCTCTCACAGCTGCCCAAGAACCTGAACTCGACTGGAGTTGAAGACACCGCTGACGGGTAAGAGATTCTGGAAAACGGTGGTAACTTTTCTTTCTTTACCTGAAGGACTGGCTCAGCCCTGAAACCCCTTCACTGGCTGTTCAGAAGTGCCCCTGAGAGACGCGCCCACGGCGGGCCAGGGCCCCGGAATGCCAGGCGGTGATGGCACCGCAGTTGTGCTTAATGACAGAAAATGACCTCTGCCACCTGGCCCTTCAGTAAGGAAAAGTTGGCATGCTGAAGCCACGAGTTAAAAAAAGAACCATTTCTGCAGAATCCCAAAGCAAAGAATTGGTGTAGCCTCCTTTCCTAAACTACATTCAAATCTCAATATTATGGAAGTTTGAAATGCCCAAGTGAGTTATGAAGGCCAAGTTAGTCACAAAAACTCAAAAATCCAACAGCAACTCAGTTACCCTTTGTTATTAGGAAAAAAAATCGTATGTAATAAAAGGCTAATATGCAAATTGTCCCCTCGACCAGGAGTCTTACTGGGAGTTCAACTGGGAATTCGACCAGGGGGTGGGGCTGGCCGGCCAACCACCTGAGGCCCTTCCCCTCAACCAGCCCTGCCCCTGATCAGGCAAGCAGGCAGAGTGGTTAGGGGAGTCAGGCAGGCAGAGGTGGTTAGGGGCAATCAGGCAGGCCGTTGAGTGGTTAGGGGTGATCAGGAAGGCAGGCAGAGGGGTTAGGGGCAATCAGGAAGGCAGGCAAGTGGTTAGGGGCATCTGGAAGGCAGGCAGAGTGGTTAGAGGCGTTCAGGCAGGCAGGCAGGTGGTTTGGAGCCAGCAGTCCTGGATTGCAAGAGGGATGTCAGACTTCCGATTTAGGCAGGGATCAGGCCTAAAATGGCAGTCAGACATCCCCCAAGGGTTCTGGATTGCGAGAGGGTGCAAGCTGGGCTGAGGAACCCCCCACCCGCCTGCATGAATTTTGTGCACTGGGCCTCTAGTGTTAAAATAAAATCCTAGAAGGGATCATGTAAGCACAGCCACAAGGCCCTGCTTTCAGAACCACAGGCTTGCATTTCATTAAAAAATTCCCCCCAAATGGTTTCTCTGGCAATAAATGTCGTTTCCATTTGTTGAGGAGGAACTGTGCTAGGTTAGTTACCTGCATGATCTCATGTAATTCTCACAACAATCCTGTTTACAGCTGGAAAACCAGGGGCTAAAAGAGGCTCAGTCATTTGCCCAAGGTCTGGGTCTGATTAAAAAGTCCAAGGGCTGCCAAAACCGGTTTGGCTCCGTGTCCCAGGTTCGATTCTGGTCAAGGGCATGTACCTGGGTTGCGGGCACATCCCCAGTGGGAGATGTGCAGGGGGTAGCTGATTGATGTTTCTCTCTCATCGATGTTTCTAACTCTCTATCTCTCTCCCTTCCTCTCTGTAAAAAATCAATAAAATATATTTTTAAAAAAAGTCCAAGGGCTCATCCTCTACGTTTATAAGGGAGGGAGGGAGGAAAGGGTTTGGGGGATGAAAGGGGGGAGGGAGGGAGGGAGGGAGGAAAGAAAGAAAATGATTTGCTTTTAGAAGAATTTCGTTTTTAAACTCTCTCCCTGGGAAGGCAGGGAAGTGGTTAGGGGCATCTGGGAAGCCAGCTGTTCAGCAGCTGAGAAAATGCCTCCAGCCTTAATATGGACCCAAAACCCCACAGAAGCTCCCTCCTCCTCGTTTTCTGCTTGCAGACATCTGTGTGCCAGCTTCTGTTTCTGGCTCTGAGATCACAATCCAGAGGTGGCAAAAAACACCCCAAAACAAACCCCGCCGGGCACCCCCTGTCCTGCCGAGTGGGGGGTGAGCTGTACCTTTTTGTAAGTCACCCAGAGCTGCAGCCAGCACTTTATAAGCACAGGTCTTGCCCCCCATGGGGCCTCCAACAATCATGTAGCCGTGTCTCACCAGCATCATCTCATAGATCTGAGAGGAGATAGCATATAAGACATCCATCAACGCAAACCTCCCAGCACTGCAGTCAGGCAGACATTGGTGAGGACTGAGCGGTCCAAGGGCATCCCCACCATCACACCTCCCTCTGCTGAGCCAGTCTTTGGGATGATACTTCATTTAACTACCTTCTGGGTGAATTAATGTGTGTGTGTCTTAGATTATTGAAGAGATTGGAACTACCATTTGCTCTGACCCTGTCGGTGCTCAGCATTGAGTGACTTACCAAACCTATTTCTTTTAATCTGTTCAGATGGCACAGACCACCTCCTAGTGGTGGGAATGACGCCCTCAGAAGAGATCGCTGACCCGCTGGCAGAGCAAGTCCGCACACGCAGGCCTCTGCCCCAGAGCCCCGAATCGTCTCATGGCGCCGTTTCCACTCGCTCATTTGCTTGTTAGTTTTCTGAGTGATCCATTTTACTTATTTTTTACTTTAAAAATTCTTGTTCAATTGCAGTTTCCATTCAATATCACTTTGTATTAGTGTCAGGTGCCCAGCATAGTGGCAGATAGTCAGATAGTCACATGCTTTACAAGGTGTCCCCTGATGTCTCCAGTCTGCCCCCTCAAGGCCCCCCGCCCGGCCCCGTACACTGTTCTTACAGAGCCATTGACTACACCCCCTGTGCTGCACTTCATATCCCGTGGCTATTAGTACCTGCAATCTGCATGTCTCAACCCCTTCCCCTATACCCCCCACCCCACCCCAGAGCCACCACTCTGTTCTCTGAAGGAAAAGGAAACAGTGGCCATGGCAGTAAATTGCATGTCTATTGGAAATGCCCTTTCTTGAAACCTCAGTGCTGTTCTGACTTGACTGGAACTCTCAGGAGAAGAGACATGCCTCCTGAGCCAGGCCCCATAGAATATAAATGACCCGTCATCGGCTCAGGGACAGTCCTGTGACGCTGGGCCTCAGCCACAACCAGCGAATCCTGAGCTTTGGCTGAAGCCACTGGAGAGTGAGGCTCTCTCCCTCCTGGGCTTGCACCCGGACAGTCTCAGCCGGAGGTGCTGGGGCCACCGAGAAGGAAGTTTTAATGCAGAGAGAGCAGCCCAGAACCGAGGAGACAGACTCCTGGGCGTCGTATAGAAACCTGGATATTCCCCTACTATTCAGTCCAGTCACTGAATAAATCCCTTTTGTTGATTCAGGCAGTTTGAGGCGGGTTTCTCTCACAGGGAATTGAGAAATCTGGAAATTCAAAGTCCCGTGCTTCAAAGGGAAGACCCCAAACTAAAAAAAGCAACCCCAAGGAAGATGGTCATAGGAAAATAGTGGATTTAAATTCAGCTTGGAAATGAAGCAAAGGCCTAGAGGGTAAAGGTGCCTCCGTTGCTCCCTCCACCTCTCTTCAGGCATCTGGCATTGCGTCTGATTCTCATGTTCTCATTCCCGACTTCAGCAACAGTACACGGGTCTATGCCCACAGGAGTCCGAGGAACCCACCTGGATAATTTTCCCAATAAACCACGGCACTGGCTGGAGTTTCATCTTTCTGATGTTCTCATTCAGCACTTCCATAAACACTTGGTAATCTGACTCCGGAAGCACGACTCCAGGGAACAAATCCGATATAATTCCCTGGGAGTCAGAATTGAGAGAGGTGGACAGGATGGATTATCAGCTGTGTGGCTCTACACGGTCCTAAAATGAGATCTACACAAACTTTGTAAAATTCCAAACCTTGTTTCCCCTGCACCAAAACTCAGCCACAATTACATATTCTGACATCATCTGTTCCACATGATTTCCCTCCCAAATAACGTTAAAAGTCAGCAAATATTTAATGAGCCTGTGCTATGTTCCATTCCTTGTACTGGGAATGAATAAGACAGTCAGAATTTCTGTCTTAATGGCACAACCTGGTAAAGAAGAGGCGTTGAATAATTATAAAAGGAAACTAAATTTGATAAAAACTATCGCCCACACCTCAGAATGAATATTATCCTATCAGTGAAACCATCTACACTAATAAAAAACAAAGATGCTAATTGACCAAACCTTTGCTATGCCCTAAGCCACGCCCACCAGACAATCAGAGTGACTATATGCAAATTAACCCAACCAAGATGGCAGCCGGCAGACACAGAGCTGGAGCAAGAAAGCTTGGTTGCCCGGGCAATAAAGGAAGCCAAGCTTCCCGCCTGCTCTGAGCTGGTTGTGACCTCCGCTCATGGCAACAAAGTTCCAATTATAGAAGACAAATAAATACCAGATACCTGCTTCCAGCCAGCCTCCACTGGGAGCTTGGGTGGCTGGGGGCTGTGGCCAGCCTGCAAACAGCCATCAGCCCCTCACCCAGACTGGGCAGGCACTCCTATATAATAAAAGGGTAATATGCAAATTGACCCTAACAGCAGAACAACTGGGAATGACTGGTCACTATGACACACACTGACCACCAGGGGGAAGATTCTCCATGCAAGAGCTGCCCCCTATGGTCAGTGCACTCTCACAGGGGGAGCTCTGCTCAGCCACAAGCCAGGCTGATGGCTTCCAGTATAGCGGTGGTGGTGGGAGCCTCTCCCGCCTCCTCAGCAGCGCTAAGGATGTCCGACTGCAGCTTAGGCCTGCTCCCCGATGGCAAATGGACATCCCCCGAGGGTTCCAGGGCTGCCAGAGGGATGTCTGACTGCCAGCTTAGGCCCAATCCCCCCAGGAAGCAGGCCTAAGCCAGCAGGTGGTCATCCCCTGAGGAGTCCCAGACTTCAAGAGGGCACAGGTTGGGCTGAAAGCCCCCCCCCCCCGAGTGCACAAATTTTTGTGCACCGGGCCTCTAGTCTTTATTAAAATTGGTAACTAGACAGAAATGTTGCCGTCCCCATTGTTACTAACACTTGGGTGGCTACCTGGCAAGAGGGTGCTGGCTGTCAGGGAGGGATGCCTGAGGGGTGCTGCAGAGACACCTCCCCTCAGAAGTGGGGTCCCAGAGCCAGCCCCACTGCACACCTGGAACAGAGGGACATCCTGAGCCAAGAACTTGGCCAGGTTGACATCCAGCAGGGCCCGGAGCAGCAGGATGCTCTCGTTCTCCTCCGGGTACTTGAGCTTGAGGTTGCCGGCGGCGGTGAGCACAGACTTGACTGCGCGCATGCCGTAGTCGTAGTGGTGCTGCGAGGAGAGCTGCTCCGAGCACAGGCGGTAGGTGGCCACGATCTTCTGGGCGAGGCTGGGTGTAAAGACACACGTCTGCATGTCCCCGAGTGGACCACGCCCGCACAGCACACATCCCCACATCCCTGGCCCTTCAGAGCGGGCCTGCCGGGATGGATGAGGAAGGTCCATCATTGGCAGGCCTCCTGACAGTGCTGCCACAATGAGCTAAGGAAGCCTGTAACCCCCAAAGTTAGGGTGAGGCAGTGAGCACACACAGATGCACAGCGTGCTGTCTGATAAACTGTATGTGTACGTGCTTGTATACGTTTACTAGATGTGACTGTATGCACACGCACACACACACACACACACGCACACACATCTGGAAAAAATACATCAAACTGTGAGTAATGATAACTGCTGGCCCCTGGACGGAGGGCTCAGGGTCACTGAAGCAAACTCACTTTTTTCACTTCTGTAACGCTACGACTTCTTGAATGTCCATGCTTTCCTTTTTAAATTTAAAAACCAATCCAAACGTCACTATCCTCACACACAGCACATGCATACTCACAGGCACCACCACGTCTTACTCTCCCTGGCCCAAGCCGGCCATACAGCCTGCCCCGCGTCCCGGCCAGCGGCATGTGACTGAGGGAAGGGTGCCGCTCCCCACGGGTCCAGGAAAGCCTGCTCAGAGCCCGCACTCCTGTGTGGTGCTGGCGTGTAAGAAACTGGACTCCTACCCTTGGGAGGAACTGCCCTGAGCACAGGCACCTAGTTTCCGGAGAGTGAAGAGTAAACACTCCTTGCTAAGCCCCACTGGCTAGGGGTCAGGGTTCCCCAACTAATGGGCTATGCGCACCTTGCAGGGAGCCCCTCATGAGACTGATTACTCTGACAGCAAAGGCCGTGTGCTCACAGCACCAGCACAGGGGGGGCAGAAGGCAGGTGGCCCAATGAACGTTTGCCAATTGAGGGATAAATAAATTGAATGGGCAAATCAATGCAATCCAGCTCGCTTACGGAAAAACTAAACTGAGCCTCATGAGAGGAGGCAGCTACTTTGCCTAGGAGGCGGGCAGGTGCCGTTCGCAGGTCTGCAGCCTTGGGGTGGGGATGAGAGCAGCCAGGCACAGGCACGCTGAGGCCTTTGCAGACCTCTGCATCAGCAAAACATCGACTGGTTGTGGCCAGGACAATGTAAACGGACAAATGTAAAATCCAAACAGGCCAATGAAAGCCATTCACAGTGATGTTAGTGACCCTGGGTGCATGTGATAAAGACACACAGCTCTGTGTGTGTGTGTCTCTCTGTGTGTGTGTGTGTGTGTCTTGGAAAATTGGGCAGCACTGAAATGAGAGATACTTGGTTGAAATAAAAGTTGTATTGATAACAATGTTAATTCTAAATTATGTTAAAATCTCCCCTTCAATCTTGGAATAACTTCATGTTTTTCAGTCTTGCCTTAAGCCATTTAGGAGTGTGTGTGTGTGTGTATGGGTGTGTATATGTGTCTGTGTCTGTGTGTGTGTATGTATGTCTCTCTCTCTGTGCCTGTTTATGTGTTTGTTTATGTGTGTCTGTGTGCATGTGTGTATGTCTGTGTCTGTGTGTTTATATGTGTGTGCGTGCATGTGTGTCTGTGTGAGTGTGCATGTGTCTCTGTGTGAATGTGTATGTATGTGCGTGCGTGTGCGTGCGCGCGCACGTGTGTGTGTGTGTGTGTGTGTGAGAGAGAGAGAGAGACGCAGGTGCTGTAAGGGGTTGGGAGCAGGTGAGTGATGTTTCTTTAGCAGAAGCCCAGATGCCATTCAGAAAAAGAAGGCCTTTTCCTGGGAATCTGGGTCATTCCCAGCCCGGGGTCAGGTGAGGACCAAGGCGGGCCGAGGTGCCTGCACATCGACCTGAACAGAAGCCTGTTCTCATTCCTTCTCATTCCTCCCTCCCCGGGGGCAGCCCACCTGCATCTGCCCCACACAGTCCTCGTGCAGGGCCTGCCAAGCCCGCTGGAACGCCAGTGCGGCTTACCTTCTGGAGTCCAGAAACCCCATGGAGTAGAGCGAGATCTCTCCAATGAGGGCGTAGTCCGGCACCATCATGGCCACTGTCCGGAACAAGGCCTGGAAGAGGAACAGCCATTCAGGAGCCGAGTGCGCACAGCGGTGCGCTGGGGAGGCCTGTCTGCAGAGGCAGAGAGGAGTAGCACGGCCTGACAATCACGGAGGAGTGCGCTGGAGGACAAGTCAATGCCAGGGACTGCCTCCGCCCGCCGCCCCACTACCCGCCCGGCCTGACCAGGTACATGCTGTCCCACTGGGCCCCTCATTCAGAGGCCCGGGTGCCGGTCCAATCAGGTTTCAGTCACTTGTGGAGCTTCCCGCAGGGCTCACTTAGAACGCAGGCCGATATGTGAGGAGCTCCTGAGGCAGAGCAGTCCGACCAAGTCCCGGAGCTGTCACCTTCCAGCTGTGCGCAGGTTACGCCTCCCTGCTGGACCTCGGTTCCTTCGTCTCCAAATGGGCTGGCACCTGTACCCTCTTCATGGTTGTCAGAGAACAGCTGATGCAGGTGAGTGAGGTGCATACTTAGGAAAGTGTGCAGCATCTAGGAGTCCTCATACACATCAGCTGTTGCTCTTATTCCCTTAGATCTCAGAGGGGAAGTGACTCGCCAAAGGCATGCGTTCGAGGTGGAGCCGGACTGGAAAGAGCCTGGTGCTTTCTAGGCCAGTGGTTCCCAACCTTCCTGATGCCGCGGCCCTTTAATACAGCTCCTCATGTTGTGGTGACCCCCAACCATAAGATTGTTTTCGTTGCTACTTCATAACTGTAATTTTGCTCCTGTTATGAATCGTAATGTAAATATCTGATACGCAGGATGTATTTTCATTGTTCGCGACCCACAGGTTGAGAACCGCTATGCTAGACCCTTGGCTCACAGAAGTTTCTTGTGCAGATTGAATGTGGTTGTTGGCTGGGGAGGTGCAGGGGGGAGTTACAGCAACTGGGTGGTGGAAAGAAGAAAGGTGGCCTGAGGGTTGGAACGTCCTGCACACCAAAAGGGGGCGGTTCTGATCCCCGTTGGGACACATACCCAGGCTGCAGGTTCGATCCTGTCGGGGTGTGTGCAAGAGGCAGCCGATAGATGTCTCTCTCGCATCAATATTTCCCTCTCTCTTTCCAAAAAAAAACCCTTCCTTTGTCTAAAAAAATAAATCAATAAAATTTTAAAAAAATAATAAGAAATGTGAGTCCAACTTCTACTAGTACTGTAGGTCTCACTGCCCTGTGTTGACTAGGGAGGAGGGAGTGGAGGAGCCATGGTTGAGGACCCCTGGCTCTCCCCTGTTCCCGGAGGGGGCGAGTGGTGGGTCAGAACAGGTGATAACAGCGCGTTTCTAGCAAGTGGAGCATCATGAACGGCCGGTCCTCGAATAATGTCCATTCTTCCAACGTCACTTCATTCGGCATTGATGAGCTGCCGCGGAACGTCACTCTGTCTGTCAATGAGCCTTGCTAACATGGGTTTCACCGTGAGCTGCTTTGCTTAAAGTCGCAGAACCTACCGATGACAGGAAGTGGGCACTTGTAGTCCTACAGCCGTGAGCGTGGCTCTGGCCGGTCCCTCGAGTGTCTTCTACCCAAGGGGCTGGAGCATAACTTGGAATAAAGCCAGTCGGGCCGCAGACCGGCCTCCTGCTGGCTGCGCTCCCCATGCAGTTGGGGTGCCAGGTGCTCTTCCCGCAGGAGGGTTTTGGGTTTTCCTTCCATGGAGAAGCCATCACGTGAGGCCTGCTTGGCTCTCCTCCTTGAGGCCTCTCCTTCCCTTCTGGCCGCAGGTCATGGGTATTGCCACGGCTTAGCTCAGGCCAGCCCGGCAGTCGGCACTGGGCACAAACAGGCTCTGCGGCCCCCTCTCCGTGGGTTGGGACAGCCTGTGTGGGCATGGGCACTGCTTAGGTGCCCGTTCCCCAGTTTGGTAGTAAGGGGAGATCCATGTGGTTGGCCGAGGCTCGCCAGCGTCCTCCGTATCCAACTCCGATGCTTTTTACAAGAGCTATAATTTGCTTGGCTTACAGTGATGTCTTTTTTTACATTGTGCTTTAGCATCTAAAAGCCAGATTTCATGTAAAACTCCAAATTCCTGGCTTTCCCTGGCAGAGGAGAGGTCTGGCGTGTCTGCAGGCTGGGCTCAGTGCTGCCTCTCCACGGGGCATCTCCAGCTGCGCCTCTCATTTGTGTGATCTGTCTGACCACTGACGACAGTGGGAACAGCGCCCTTGTTCCCACGCACACGGTTTTCTGTTTACATTGGCTACCCACTCCCTGCGGCCCTCCCCCACCGTCCATGAGAGGGAGAGGTTTGTTGTAGGGCCAGGAACCCTCACCTCCACCCACACACCCGTTACTGACAGGCTGAAGCATGTTGCGGGTTCCATCATCCGGCTTCTCTGGGAGACCTGGTGCTTGCAGAGCTCATGTGCCCAGCCCCCTCCACACGGACGCTCACCTTAAGGTTGTCGGGCAGCTCCGCCCTGCCCGCGTACCCGGGGTTCATGGTGATGAAGACCGCGCAGGTTGGGTTGAGGGAGAGCTCCGTGCCTTCGAAGATGAACATCTTCAGCTTCCGCATAATGGCTTGCTGAATGCTGAGGATCTGCTGTGCCACCACCGACAGCACCTCCACCTGCAGGGAGAGGGGCTGGCTGACGGAGCCCTGCTCAGACCCGCCCCCCCTCCCTTAGAGGGCCCCTCACTCAGCAAAGAAAGGCCAACCACCTGTGAACCAGACCTTCAAAATGAGAAGCATGACTGGGGTTTTGGTAAAGAAAAAGTGTGTGTGTGTGTGTGTGTGTGTGTGTGTGTGTGATTTCCATAGCATTTCATCTTCCCCCCAATACCTAGCATAATGCTTAAGGCATAGTATGTACTTGGGCAGTGTTTCTTGGTTCAAATGGAAAGTTTCTATGTCCTGAACTCAATCCGCTAAGGCCGTGGTCTGCAAACTGCGGCTCGCAAGCCACATGCAGCTCTTTGGCCCCTTGAGTGTGGCTCTTCCTAAGCCTTAGGAGTACCCTAATTAAGTTCATAACAATGTACCTACCTATATAGTTTAAGTTTAAAAAATTTGGCTCTCAAAAGAAATTTCAATCGTTGTATTGTTGATATTTCGCTCTGTTGACGAATGAGTTTGCCGACCACTGCCCTAAGGGAGCGGGAACGGGAGATAGAAACATCAATGATGAGATAGAATCATCATCAACTGCCTCCTGCACGCCCCCTACTGGAGATGGAGTCTGAAACCTGGGCATGTGCCTTGACCAGGAATCGAACAGTGACCTCCTGGTTCATAGATCGACGCTCAACCACTGAGCCACGCTGGCCAGGCTACCCCCTCTTCTGTAATGCCTCTTTTGTGCCACTACTGTAATATCTATCACATTGACTTTGTTTCATTTAATTTTTATTTCCCTGTGTTAGATTGTAAGAGTCTAGAGAGAAAAACCATTTCTTATTTTTGTATCATGAACACATGCAGAATATCTGATATAGTAGCTGCTCAATCATTGTTGAATGAGCTAGTGATAGACTGAATATGATGAGGTGCATATGTGTATAAAACAGGCATTTTATGTCTTTTAGGCCATTGAGTACCGACTCTGTGCAAGAGGCTGTAGAGGAGACGTCAGACCTGTCCTTGAGGAGCTGAGGGACTAAAGAGAGGCCTGGCATGCACAGCCTCTCTGTGGCCAGGAGCAGGGTTACCTCAATTCTATTGAACTCGTCAAAGCAGGCCCACGCTCCGGCCTGGGCCAGCCCTTTGAAGAACTTCCCCATGGCTTTATAATCCAGGCCGTCTGAGCAGTTGAAGACCACACACTAGAGAGGAGGGCGTGGGTACCATTCAGGATGGTCCCTGCGCCGGAAACAGGGGTGGGCTCCTCGCTTCCTGCTCCACAGGAACAGCTGGGCCCACTCTGCCTGTTACACTCCCCATCCTCCCCTTCACGCCGCTCCCCTGGACAGGGTCCCAGAGAGGAACGGGAGGGGAGGGGCGGGACAGCATTTCCTGCCTGCTTGGCCAAAGCCTTGGCCAGGTCTTTGGTGGTCTCTGTCTTGCCTGTCCCAGCCGGACCTTCTGGGGCTCCCCCAAGATTCAGCTTCAGAGCCCCCATCAGCGTCCTGAGAGGAAGAAGACAAGACCTCAGTGCTTGACTCCTAAGACACAGGGAAGAAACGGCCTCTGGCTTACTTTGTTTTTTTGTTTTGTTGTTTTTTTAAAAATATTTTATTGATTTTTTACAGAGAGGAAGGGAGAGGGATAGAGTTAGAAACATCGATGAGAGAGAAACATCGACCAGCTGCCTCCTGCACATCCCCTAGTGGGAATGTGCCCACAACCAAGGTACATGCCCTTGACCAGAATCGAACCTGGGACCTTTCAGTCCGCAGGCCGATGCTCTATCCACCGAGCCAAACTGGCTAGGGCTGGCTTACTTCGTTTTGACTCCTGCGAATAGCTTAAGCTTCCCCCGGTTATGCACCCACCATGATGAAGAATTCTGTGGCAGCCCTGCAGCCTGCAGCCCGGCGTGGTGCCTGGGGCAGGGGTGGCGCCAGGAGCATTTGCTTGAGGGGAAGATTGAATGAGTAAATGAGTACACACAGATGTAAACGCATCAACTAAAAAAGCCTCAAACTCCACATCCCAAAGACCAGCGAAGCTAGTGGGATGTGAAAATAAACATGCTTCTCCCCCTAGATTATGAACATTGAATTAAGGATCTGATTTGACTCAGTTCCAAATCCTCAGACACTAACACAGGCCCGGTGAAAGGGCAGAGAAGGACTGACTCCATTTTGTACTGTGCCCTCCATCTTGTGTAACTATGTCCCCGATAGGACCCCTTCTCTAAGAAAGCAGAATGTGTCAGTTACCCGACCCACCCTTAAATCAGCCAATGGGAATACAAGGGGAATCAACCTCTTTGTGTAACTAGACTCTAGCCCAGCCGTGGGCAAACTACGGCCCACTTGAAATGAATAAAACTATTGAAAAAAAAGCCCGTACCCTTTTATGTAATGATGTTTACTTTGAATTTATATTAGTTCACACAAACGCTCCATCCATGCTTTTGTTCTGGCCCTCCGGTCCAGTTTAAGAACCCATTGTGGCCCTCGAGTCAAAAAGTTTGCCCACCCCTGCTAGCCGCTTCCTGCCTTTGCGTCACAGGACCCTAGCCCTCACCCAACCAATCAGAATCGGCCAACTCAGTGGTCCGAGCATCACCCCACCACCCCGACACCTAGCCCTATATAATCTTTGTTCTTTTGAGACTTGGGGCTCTTCGCATGCTGCTACTGCGTCGGTAGAGGTGGAGAGACCGAGCTCGAGCAGCTTGAATAAAGGCTCTTTGTTCTTGCATCAGACTCTGCTCCCTGGTGGTCTTTGGGGATCTTGAAATCTGGGCATAGCACCGGCACACGGTGCAGGGACGAGATAGATGTTAGGAATAGCGGATGTGCTCACTGTGGTTCCTCAGCCCCTGCATGGCCGCTAGATGCCGGTTAACACACTGTCTGTAATAACCTAGTACCTCCCACTGTTAAGTGGGGTTCCTGGAGGTCACGCCCAGGGCAGCAAGGCTAGGAAATGGCTGTGGAGCCTGAGTGGAGTAAACGAATGAGCAAAGAGCATAGCAAACAAGCGACTGAGGCCTTTGAAAGGAGAAAGTACCCGAGTATTATCTTCATAAATTAAAAAAAAATCCACTGCAAAGGATATACAAAACCAAAATTAATCCAAACATCATGGACTTGACAAATCCACAATGCCCAGACTTCTAATGTTATGATCCCAAGGGAAGGGGCAAAGCACTTTCTGTGCTGAACTCAGAATGGCCGCTCTGCCTCGCCGGTCACCCGCTCAGAGCCTCTGGCCTGGGCCTCCGCCTGGCCTCGGGCTCCCCCTGGCTCTGGCTCCCCCTGGCCCTGGGATCCCTCTAACCCTGGGCTCCCCCTGGCCCTGAGCTCCCCCTGGCCCTGGGCTCCCCCTGGCCCTGGGCTCCCTCTGGCCCTGGGCTCCCCCTGGCCTTGGGCTCCCCCTGGCCCTGGGCTCCCCCTGGCCCTGAGCTCCCTTTGGCCTGGGATCACCTGGTACCATCTTGATTCTGCCACTGGGGAGCCCTGCTACTTAAGGACTGATCCGTTTTCAAGGGAGGCACCAGCCTCTGCTTGTGGCCTGACCACGTTAACCTGCATTAGGGCTCCTACTGGGTTCTTACTTCTGGCCTCGGCCTCATGTCCATGCCCCGCTCTGAGACCTGGTGTCTAAGGGCAAAATTCAAAACGCTGAGAAGCTGAAATGTGGAGGCGAAGGTAACAAACTGAAGATGCCCCAGCCCTTCCCCAGGTTTCCCTCCAGAGCTCTGCACTCGCCTGTAGCAGCGGTCGGTGAGGGGCGTGATCACCAGCCGGGGGCTGTTCCCCAGGTACTCGTAGCCGTACAGGGCCTCGGTGGTGATCATCTGCACCTGCACGTCCATCGCCCGCCAGTAGTAGCGCAGCTGGGAGATCCACTGGAAGTCATGCAGGTCGCACACTTTGTCCTCAGATAACTTGGCCACCACGTCCCGAGCTGTTGGGACATGGAAGCACACACGTGGAGAGCTATCCATCTGCGTCTTCCCCTCTGCACCCACGCCTCAGCGGGCGGTGTGGGGGGGGGGGGCAACGACGTGTCCAGGCCACCCTCCCTCTTCAGACAATTTTAGGCGCAGCTGCCTTTCCTGCCCACCCCCACCTGGAGGCAGCATGCCTTCCAGGTGCTGCGCTTGGCTTCTCCCAAGGGGCCCTGAGAGACTGGGTGGCGGCGTTGTTTGACGTCTGTCGGACTCCAAAACCATCCTGCCCCAGGCCAGATTCTGGCTCTGCCATTCACTGGCTATGTGACTGGGCAAATTACTCAACCTCTTTCCCCTTCAGCGCTGTAATCTGTAAAATGTGGATAACATAGTACTTATCTGATAGGGTTGTAATGAAGATTAAATGAAGATATCTATATATATAAAAGCTTAAGCAACCGTTCAACCATTCAACCATTCGACTGGTAGCTATGACATGCACTGGTCACCAGGGGGCAGATGCTCCGACTGGTAGGTTAGGTTGCTGGCTATGGGTCAGCTTGCTGCTGGGGCCCTGTTGGCCCCAATTTGGTTCACCCACACTCAGGACCCAGAGAAGAGGGAGGAGAGAGCCTGAGTCCTTGTGGAATCAGCGTGGGTTAGCTTGCTGCGATATTAAAATATTTCTTCTAATTAATTTCCTTTCAATGTGCATGAATCTACACACTGGGCCACTAATATGTGTATAAACACACATACACATACATATTCGTGTACTAAATATATGCATATTTATATATATTCATATCTATACAGATATAGGTAGACAGATGGAGAGAACACAAAGGGAAAAAGAGAAATGAGCTGCTCCTGGCTTAGGAAAGCACTGTGTAAGCATTAGCTGTTGTTCTCAGTCCCGAACTTGTGGGGCCGACTCAGAGGACTGTGCAACATGTAGTTACCCCGAATGGTGTCTTATCCCCAACCTGAGCCTGTTGGCCCTGCTCCAGGCCTCTGGGACAGCCTAGACCAGGAGTGGGCAAACTTTTTGACTCAAGGGCCACAATGGGTTCTTAATCTTAAACTGGACCGGAGGGCCGGAGCAAAAGCATGGATGGAGTGTTTGTGTGAACTAATATAAATTCAAAGTCAACATCATTACATAAAAGGGTATGGTCTTTTTTTTTTTTAAGTTTTATTCATTTCAAATCCGGCCTAGTGGAACCCAAGCAGTGTGGCCTGACAGTAGGGGAGGGGCCCATGAGGCCACCGTTAGAAGCCTTTCTTACATCTGGGGCCTGAGAAACCAGCTGGGAGGGACATCTCTAGGTGTTCTCCTTTTTCTCAGAAGATGGGAGCCTCCTTTAACGTTTTCACCGTGATGGGAGCCCTAAGTTGAAGAGTGGGCAAGAGGTCTGTGGGAATCAGTCATTGCTTTTAGGTAATTCACAGGGCAAGAGCCATTGAGGTCTGGGATGAGTACAGCAGATCGAGGTTAGATCTCAGAAACACAGCTTTGCAAAGGGAAGCCCGCAGTCTCCTGCCTCACTCAGGAGAAGCCTCTCTATGGCAGTAACCCCACCTGCACAGGAGACCTGGAGGGAGGCCACCGCGCCAGCGCCCTCCTCCCAGGAGCTGGATTCCTAGCGAACGGTGTCCAAGGACGGAGCTGAGGATGCCACGTGTGTGTGTGTGTGTATGTGTGTTTGCACACATGTGCGTGCATGCATGTGCGTGCATGTACATGTGTGTGTATGACCCCAACCACCCTGGGTCCAGGGCGCCCTGCCCAGCAACCACACGGGCATGCGTTACACCTACCCGCTGGATACGTGTCCAGAAGAAGTGGCATCTCCCTCCCTCTCCCAGGCTTCATGCTGGTCTGTGCACATGACTTCAGGCGGAATGAGGGCAGCCTCAAGCAGACAAGGGTGCCGTGAAATGCGAAATGCCGGCAGGAAGCTGGGTGTGGGAGTAAGAGGGACCCCGCTCCCAGGAGCCAGCCTAGTCCAGCGTGTCCTTGGTGACAACGACGAGTGAGGGTGTGGGTGGCTTATTTACATAAAGACCCCAGTCTCCTCTTCTTGTTAACGAAGAGCGGACAGCGCGTGCCCCGCCCCTCGCTCCTGCATCGCTGCCCATTCCCACGCTCCTGGGTTTGGGATCAGACAGACATCGGTTCAAATGACAAAAGAGCCCCCCTCCCTGGGGCCTCGCTGTGAGCTCTGAGGCTCAGACCTCTCCGAGCCGGTGCTGAGCCTGTGACTTGCTTGGGAAAGTGAGCAAATGGGGGTCCAGCACGGAGCTTGGCCCCTGGGGAGCATTTAACAACGTTCGCTCTGGTCAGTGCAGGACCGGCTCCAGGGCCGACTCAGAGACACTGTGCCCGTGGCTCAGTGAGAGGCCCCCCAGAAGTGCAGGCGCCTCTCCTCCCCAGCTGACCCTCGGAGCCTCTCCCCCAAAGGAGGCCCAAGCCTCACCCAGGAGGGGAGGCCGGCGGGCTGCTCCCACCACAGGGTGCAGCTGAGGCCGGGCGGGTGCTCACCGTGGACGTCGATGACCGTGAGGGCCCCGAGGGTGAGGCGAGCCCCGCTGCTCAGCTTCCCTCGCACCAGCTGGACGATCTGTGCGATCTGGTCATTGCTCTTCTTCAGGAAGTCCTGGCAGGGACACGGGAGGGGACAGCGTCGCGCTGGGTTCTCTCTGGTGGCCTAGGGCAGCGTCGCCTGCCACACCCATGGCCCAGGCCAGGCTCCTGGGCGTCACCCCTCAGCCCCTCCCCTCAACTCCAGTCAGTGACCTCAAGCGGGTTCTACACGTGAGTGGCCAGGTACCGGGAGACCCGAGTTCACTGATATTGTGGAGAGGAAACCACGGTGCCTGGAGCAGCGGGGGACTTGGTTGAGACGGGCATGAGGAGATGGGGATTGCACAAGTGTGTGCGTTTGTCAAAACTCAGGACTGGACAAGAAAAAGGGTGAGTTCTACTGTGTATCAGTTACACAGTAAATTTGAGTTACTAAGAAAACCCTGGGACATTTTGAGATGAAAGGAGACATGGACAATGTGAAACCTAAGTGCCTATAGGCACGTGAGCCTGGATGGACCGTGGACCAGACAGAGAGCCACGAGTGCAGGCTGCAGGGAGGGCCCACTGTCTGCCTAGTGCCGGCGGCCATTCGGCCCTGTGCGTGGTTGTGGAAGATGTGTGTGGTGCATCTGGATGACGGGCATCTGGGTTATTTGTGTTATTTTTCAACATTATATGTACACCTGACACTACTTTCAAATAAAGACTGAAAAACCAAGAATGAAATTTTAAAAAGGAAAAGGATTGGCTGGTGGGCATTCTGCCAGATTGACCCTGGAGACGGAGGCTGGTTGATGCCAGGATCCGGGCCCAGGACTGTCTGGGAGGGACGGAGCCGCTGCGCTTGGCCTGCTCCGGGGAGCCCACCCCACACCCTCGGCCCGCAAGCCCCACGGGGCCTGGCTCTGTGGTCTCCCGGGGTGGATGTCACACTGATGGTTTAGAAAACAGGCTCCTTATGTCATTCACACCCCAGGGGAGCCCCCCATAGGCTCACACAGCTGCCTTACCGGCAGAGTCCTTTCCTCCAGGGCCACAGACACCTCCTGGGTCCAGAAGATGGAGGAGACGCAGATGACCACCTGGCCCGGCCACTGCAGGACCCACTGGTCACGGGAGACCTGGGGATCAGCGGGCACATTATAGGTCCATCCACCCTGCGGTTTAACCCCCTCTAACAACACCCCCATCTCGCTCTGAACACCAGCACACCACAAGGCTTGGCACCTCTGGCATCACTGAGTTGTCTTCCTCCCAGAATTTTATGAAAAAGAAAAAAATCAGCCGTGATCTCAGCGACGCTTAGCTTTTTGTTTCCTGCTCCTTTCGGGGACTCCGGGCTGTAACAGGTGGTGCCCAGGACTCACAGCTGCTCTCAGTGGTGCTAACACTGCGGGCCGCCCCCCGTTTTTTCAGTCACGCTGCCCCCACTCCTTTTTAACTGTAAATCAGGCCAATGCTGGCGGAGGCCGAACCTGATTTTGTAGATGAAGGGACCTGCACCACAGCCGTGCGCACTGTTCACATGTCACCCCAAAGGCAAAGACAAAACGCGGGGTGGCCTGCGGAGCTGGCAATCATCACGGGCGGGGCCTTTACAGAAAGCCTGCTGGCGCTTGCTATGGAGGCACTTGCATGGAATAACTCCATACAGGCAGCAGGTTTTCTTTAATTAAAAAAATATCTATTTAATTGATCTCAGAGAGGAAGGGATCAATGATGAGAGAGAATCACTGACTGGCTGCCTCCTGCAGGCCTCATACTGGGGATGGAGCCACAACCCAGGCATGTGCCTTGACAGGGAATCGAACCATGACCCCCTGGTTCATAGGTCAACGCTCAACCACTGAGCCATCTGGCAGGGCTTTCTTTAATTTTTATTTAGAATATGTTACTGGCCAGGGGGCCTGGCCCTGAGCGGGTCTGCCTAGGACTGGCCTACAGTGTATGGGTTCTTGGCTCTGTGCAGGGAACATGTCACAACACGAGTCAGGTGACTAACTCACATGATTCAGGCCAGGACAGTGAAGCAGGAGGGCTTAGCACAGCAGCAGCAACAGGAGAGCCCGGGGAGTCCGAGAAAAGGGGGCTGAGGCAGGGTCGGGGGTGGGCCTAGGATGAGCTACTGCTGCCCACTGCTCCCCTGGCTGAAGTTTCCTGGGGTCTCTTAGAGTTTAGGGATGTGGCCGTGGGGGAAGGACAGGGGGAGGGAATGGCTCTCCCTCTGGGTCTCTGTCTTGAGGCTTTTCTCTCTCTAGTGGGAGGGCCCTGAGGGAGGTCTCAGGGAGGTTTCAGCAGAATATTCACCAGCTTTCCGGGTGGGCCCTCCAGGGCGTGGGTCCCTCCAGGGCCCTGGTCTCCACTGATTGGTCAGGGCCAGGGCAGGGGGTGGTCAGTCATTGCAGCTGGTCCTGGTGTTGCCCACCTGATTTTGCTGCATTCCTGGACCTGGCTGTCATCTCTAGGGAGGGGACCTGTATCTGCTGTCATTGCTCTGCAGTTTGTTCAGCTGCCTGCCTCAGTTTCCCTGCTCCACTTCCCGGCTCACAGGCCTGTCTGAGTGCAGCCTAAGAGGAAGGACTGGCCTTTCATCACCAGCAAATGCCATTGAGAGGACCAGCAGGCCAGCCCCTTGCCTCAGTGGGAAGGTGGTAATTGAATGTTCTTTTGTTTGTTTGTGAGGAAATGGCTGAAGAGTTAACTGGCTGAAAGGTTCTTTTCCTTTAGGCCTCTCCTCCTTGAGTCCCCTCAGGCTTTGGGCCTCAATGAGCTGGGCCTTCAGGGCCTGTGTTCTTGAATGACAAGCTTGGGGGATGCTGAATGGGAAGGGGCTCTTGCCATCAATCAATTTATTTCCCAGAAAGGACTGGCTTGCAGAGGCCTCTCGGTGTCCTCTGCTTCTAACTGCAAACCTTTTACCAGCTGGGCTCACAGGGAGAAGGCGGGGGTGTGGTGGGTGTGGGGGAGGGAAGTGCACTGGGAAAGGAGAGAGAGGTGGAGGGGCAGGTGCACAGGGAGAGGAGAGAGAGGTGGTAGGGGGCAGGTGCACAGGGAGAGGAGAGAGAGAAGTGGGGGGGGGGCATGTGCACTGGGAGAGGAGAGAGAGGAGGGGGGCAGGTGTACAGAGGAGGAGAAAGAAGGGGGGGGGG